TTTTTTTTGGAGAGATTTTCACTGTAGGGCGCGTGCGCTCGCCAGACAGACAGAGAGAGACATAGAGACAGAAAGCGAGAAATCACCCCCCAGGGGGGATGGTCACGCCGCAATCCCTTCTCCTCCATTCTCCTCTCGGGATCTTGGGCACGCACGCACACGCGCCCGGCGTGAGTTTTAAGCCACCGGGTCGGGGACACGAACCACGGTCGACTACGTGGGAGTCCAGCGACATAGCCATTACGCTAACTGCTGGTTCCCAGAACTTAAACCTTTGATAATCATCTCTCTGGCTTTTCTTTTGGTAGTTTAGAGTTAAGATACTTCATCTAGGGACCAGCAGGTGGTGTGTGGTGGTTAAGGTGCTGGACATTCCCACATGACCAACCATGGTTTGAGTCCTAGACCTGGAGGCCTGCTTTCTCGCTTTCTCTTTCTCTCTCTCTCTCTCTCTCTATCTATCTCTATCTCATCTTTCTCTGGTCAAGTTAAAATAAATAAATGAATAAATTTTTAAAAATGAAATAATTTTAAAAAAAAAAGGTACTTCATCTAACTGAATAACTTCATTATTCGCCTTCCAGGATATAAAGGCTGACTGGTGGCACTACCTACCTTTCTCTCTTGGTGGTGGGTAAACTAGCAAAATAAATGCCTAGGAGGGTGTAGCTGTTTTGATATTCTGCCTCAGGGCAACTTTAGTTTCCAGAATTTGCTTTCTTCTGTGACCACCATAGCAGACATGGTAGTCAGACCAGATGGTCTCAAGAAATACGAACTAAACTCGATGGCACATTTGGTCCCATTTAAGTGAAGATGTACAGAGTGTTGTTAGTTTTCTCACTTTTCCTTGCAACGTTGGGCAAGTTAAATGTTCTTCGAGCCTCAGGTAAGAGGTGGGAGTGGAGGATGATGACAGGGAAAGGCTGCTTGAACATTTAGCCAAAGAGTGTTTATAAACAGCAATAGTATGCCCTTTTCACCTTTCCCTTATTTTTTTTTTTTTTTCAGGCACAGGGGTCACTGGTTAAGCAGAAGAGAGTAAAAAAATAGGACATCAAAAATCTAATTGGAATGGCCTTGTATAATTCTCTGCATTATACTTGAAATTGTCATCACGAAAACAGCCTGGTCTTCTCTGCAGCAAGCTTGACATGCCACTTGTCTTTCTTTGGGGGCTTCTGGGCCAGTCATAGTTCAGGTGTGCATTTCACCAAGATCTTGCTCTCACCCTTCCTTTTTTTTTTGGAGTGGTTTTTGCTATAAGGCCCATGCGCTCGCCAGAAAGACAGAGAGAGAAAGCTAGAAATCACCCCCCAGGGGGTATGGTCACGCCACAATCCCTTCTCCATTCTCCTCTTAGGATCTTGGGCACGCACGCACATGCACCCAGTATGAATTTTAAGCCACCGGGTCCGGGACTCGAACCGTGGTTGTATACATGGGAGTCCAGCGACAGCCATTCTGCTAACTGCTGGTCCCCTATTCTCACCCTTGCTAAAATGCAACTCTTTTTTTTTTTTTTCTTCCAGTTTTCTAATAGGTTTTGAAATACTTGCCTGAAAACCCTCCTTTGACTATTGTAGATTCAACATCAACATGGGATGTGAACTGAGGCTTGGATGTTGATCTCAGTTCTATCACTATGGACCTGGGTAATTTAATTTAATAAAGTGTGGTTAGTATATAACTGGCTAGGGCCAGTGACTTGTAATGCTTTGTATGTTACATCTATGTAAGAGTGTAAATCTATAAAACGGAACTGTGTCTTCTGAAGAATGACTCAACCGTGACTCACAAATATACAAAACTGTCATCACAAATCATCTAAGTCTTGTGTCTCAGAACCGGGAGTCAGTAGCTATGACGTAGTCATTCATTCGTTCATTCTGTGTCCAACTCAAAGCAAGCCTATTAGAGTGTAATAAAAAGCATTCTGTCCATTTTTGCTCCATGCCCTTGCAAAGCTTCTGGCGCTTATAGAGCCTTGGAAAAGGCTTAGAACCCAGTGACAACTTGGAACCACCACGAACACACTTACAAAGTGCCGTGAATTGGTAATTCCCTGCTGGAAATTTCTTTTCACAGGTTTCTGTAATCATATATTTTTTTATTCCATAAGTGATTTCTAATGTTTACCAAATCGGTTGACTTTCTTTTTAAAAATTCATTATTTTAATTGCCAGAGGGCATGTACATTTGCCAGGGAGAGAGCGTGAAATCCCCAATGGGACCTGGTCATGCTGCAATTCTTTTTTTCTCTATTTCTTCACCCCATCAGAATTTTGGACCTGCTGTGTTTTTAAAGCCTCTAGGGTCAGGATTCAAGCAGCGAACAGGATTCAAGCAGTGCTGGCCATGCAGGATCAGCTCCCAATGTATTATGCCTAACCACTGTTTTACAGGGCTGGCCCTACCTTATTTTCTCTTAGGAACTTTTTTTTTTTTTTTTTTTTTTTGCCCTGTAGGGTGCTTGTGCTTGCCAGAGACAGAGATAGAAGAAAAATGAGAAATCACCCCTTGAGAGGGATGGCCACACCTCAGTCACTTCATTCTTTTCTCAGGTTGGTCATGCATGCACATGCAACCGGTGTGTTTTTCACACGCCCCTGGGTCTAGGACTTGAATTGTGTAATCAGCCCTATGAGATCTAGCACCTTAACTATCATACCACCTGCTGGCCTGTATTTTTCTCATTTTTGAGATTGTAATTAAGATAGAAAGTGGTTTTTTTTTAATTTATTTAATTTTATTCATTCATTTATTTTAATTTGACCAGAGAGAGAGAGAAGGAAAGTGAGAAAGCAAGCTACCAGGCCCAGGACTTGAACTGTGGTCAGCCATGTGGGAATGTCCAGCACCTTAACCACCACACACCTGCTGGTCCCCTAGAAAGTGTTTTTT